GAGAGAGAGAGAGAGAGAGAGAGAGAGAGAGAAACAAAATGGGATTCAAAAAGTTAAATTACCAATCTGAAGAAATAACAACAAAAACCATAAACATTCAAACAGTCACACACTGAGTAACCAGAAAGATTGGCAACCCAAATCTCACTTCCACAGTGATGTCAGGTACCCTATGGCTGTGGAGGTCCCCTGCTGCGTCTTACAAGAATAGATAGATAGAAAGCACTGGTACCAATCTCACAGAGCTGCTCCAGTGCAGAAATGCTCTAATGTTTGGGGATGGGGAGTTGTGTAAGGAGCTCCAAGTGTAAATGCCAAGTTAAGTATTCTCTTAATTGAAGAGATCTAGAAATCTGCTTATCTAGTACTTTGTGAAACAGGCCACTGACTTCACTCACACTTCTGGAGAAAGCCACAAATCAGCCATAGCTTCTGCCTACAAAATGACTCACTCTTGGTTATAATTGTATAACAAGAACAATTAGAGTTTTGAGTAAAATCCATTGTCTACTCTTGAATAAACCAGGCAGGCCAATCACTGGGACGGCTAAGTTCTTGCTTCTGCGGGCTCATTGGGTCCCATCAGCACAATGTCACGTAGGGGGCCAGAGTGCTGCTCTGCTCAATGTCACTGGCACCATGATAGCTCTTCCAACACCTCCTTCTAAGGGAAACTGCCCTGCCAGTAGCAATCTCTCCATTCCCCTGGAAATCTCTCCACACCCAGGAGATGGTCAGGCTTAGTTAGCTTATGCCACTCTGGAATCTAAACAGGGAAAGTGGGAAGAGAGTGAACCAATGGACGTGGAGTGGACCAGACAGTGGAAGAGAAGCAGAATCCTACACAAGTCAGAATGATGCCAATCTGGATGCCAACCCTGGAGGCAGGAGAGGCGATATCAGAACCACCACACTCAAGCAGGCAGCTGCTGCTATATCCTTCCAATAAATACCCCATTACCTGTGGTGACCTCTGCGCCTCTCTGGAAGGAGAGACTATAATACAAGAAGGGTTTTTGCTTTGTTTTGTTTGAAGTGCTGGGGTTTTGACCCAGAGCTTCATGCATGCTAGGCAAGTGCTCTATCACTGAGCTACACCCCCAGGGAAAAGACACATTTTTTGGTGTATGTGTGTGTACCAGGGATTGAACTCAGGGGCACTCGATCACTGAGCCACATCCCCTGCCCTTTTTTTGTATTTTATTTAGAGACAGGGTCTCACTGAGTTGCTTAGCGCCTCACTAAATTGCTGAAGCTAGCTTTGAACTCGAGATCCTCCTGCTTCAGTCTCCTGAGCCACTGGAATTACAGGCCTGTAACACCGTGCCTGGCCAAAAGACACATTTTTGAGGGTCTATTAGCTACAATTGTTTTTGTCCTCTAAGCAAATTCTATTAGGACGATCAACTAAGACCAGATATTTATTTTCATAATATTTATAAGTATTAAGCAAAAATAAAATAATCATAAAATGGTAATTGGGGCTGGGGATGTGGCTCAAGCGGTAGCGCGCTCGCCTGGCATGCGTGCGGCCCGGGTTCGATCCTCAGCACCACATACAAACAAAGATGTTGTGTCTGCTGAGAACTAAGAAATAAATATTAAAAATTCTCTCTCTCTCTCCTCTCTCTCTCTCTCTTAAAAAATATTTAAAAAAAAAAAAATAAAAAAAAAAAATAAAATGGTAATAACTACATTTATTTAAAAAAACTATCACTTTCATTGCTCTATAAAATTTAGGAACTGTAGCCATTATTCAAGCATTCAATGACCAGTAAGTGGGGATCCTGCTATTCCTAAGAACAATTTTTATGAAAAGTACTAAATAACATTTATTTTACAGTTATAACAAAAATACCACTCTTTAAAATCTTTTTTCCCTAAACATTTTTAACAAACATGTAACATTATAAATGTAGTGAGTTCCAAATCTTGGTTCATAACTTCTTTAGGTTTGCTACCAACATTTGCATTGAAGATCATTAACATTTGCCTAGCATTCATATGATTTATTTAAAATGTAGCCATTAGCAAAAGACCCTTGGGGTATATGTACAAAATTAGAACTGTAAGTATTCAGTCAAATATTACATTAGCAATATTACTCAAGAAATTACTCAAAAATGCCAGTGGGGCTATATCCATCAGAAGTTAGCCAAACTGGAAAAAGGGCAAGAGATCTTCTAGCCATGTGGGGATGTGTTACTTACGGATAACAGTGAACTTAATCTATTGTCATAATCTACCAAAGAAATTTCAAAATGATCATATTTATGATGATGAATTACATTTCAAAAATCTGGGCTCAG